GCCCTTCCCAGCCCTGCCCCCCAGCCCTGCCGGCGCCCCTCACTCCCGACCCGCAGCCCCTGCCCTTCCCAGCCCTGCCCCCCCCAGCCCTGCCGGCGCCCCTCACTCCCGACCCGCAGCCCCTGCCCTTCCCAGCCCTGCCCCCACCAGCCCTGCCGGCGCCCCTCACTCCCGACCCGCAGCCCCTGCCCTTCCCAGCCCTGCCCCCACCAGCCCTGCCGGTGCCCCTCACTCCCGACCCGCAGCCCCTTACCTTCCCAGCCCTGCCCCCCCAGCCCTGCCGGCGCCCCTCACTCCCGACCTGCAGCCCATGCCCTTCCCAGCCCTGCCCCCCCAGCGCCCCTCACTCCCGACCCGCAGCCCATGCCCTTCCCAGCCCTGCCCCCCCCAGCCCTGCCAGCGCCCCTCCCACCCCCCAGCCCTGCCCTGCCCCTCTCCCACCCCAGCCCCTGCCCCCCAGCCCTGCCCTGCCGGCGCCCCTCACTCCCAACCCGCAGCCCCTGCCCTTCCCAGCCCTGCCCCCCCCAGCCCTGCCGGCGCCCCTCACTCCCAACCCGCAGCCCCTGCCCTTCCCAGCCCTGCCCCCCCAGCCCTGCCGGCGCCCCCTCACTCCCGACCCGCAGCCCCTGCCCTTCCCAGCCCTGCCCCCCCAGCCCTGCCGCGCCCCCACTCCCGACCCGCAGCCCCTGCCCTTCCCCCCGCCCCCAGCCCTGCCGGCGCCCCTCACTCCCGACCCGCAGCCCCTGCCCTTCCCAGCCCTGCCCCCCCAGCCCTGCCGGCGCCCCCCTCCCCCGACCCGCAGCCCCTGCCCTTCCCAGCCCTGCCCCCCCCAGCCCTGCCGGCGCCCCTCACTCCCGACCCGCAGCCCCTGCCCTTCCCAGCCCAGCCCCCCCCCCCCCCCCCCCCCCCCCCGCCCCCCACCCCCCCCCCCACCCCCCCCACCCCCAGCCCCTGCCCTTCCCAGCCCTGCCCCCCCACCCTCCCGACCCGCAGCCCCTGCCCTTCCCAGCCCCCCCCCCGCCCCCTCACCCCCCCCAGCCCGCCCTCCCAGCCCTGCCCCCCCCAGCCCTGCCGCTGCCCCTCACTCCCGACCCGCAGCCCCTGCCCTTCCCAGCCCTGCCCCCCCAGCCCTGCCGGCGCCCCCTCACTCCCAACCCGCAGCCCCTGCCCTTCCCAGCCCTGCCCCCCCCCTGCCCCTCACTCCCGACCCGCAGCCCCTGCCCTTCCCACGCCCCCCCAGCCCTGCCGCCCCCCCCCCCCCGCACCCCCCCCAGCCCAGCCGGCGCCCCTCACTCCCGACCCGCAGCCCCTGCCCTTCCCAGCCCTGCCCCCCCAGCCCTGCCGGCGCCCCTCACTCCCGACCCGCAGCCCCTGCCCTTCCCAGCCCTCCCCCCCCCCCTGCCGGCGCCCCTCACTCCCGACCCCACCCCCCAGCCCGCCCCCAGCCCTGCCCCCCCCAGCCCTGCTGGCGCCCCTCACTCCCGACCCGCAGCCCCTGCCCTTCCCAGCCCTGCCCCCCCAGCCCTGCCCGTGCCCCTCACTCCCGACCCACAGCCCCTGCTCTTCCCAGCCCTGCCCCCCCAGCCCTGCCGTTGCCCCTCACTCCCGACCCGCAGCCCCTGCCCTTCCCAGCCCTGCCCCCCCAGCACCCCCTCACTCCCGACCCGCAGCCCCTGCCCTTCCCAGCCCTGCCCCCCCAGCCCTGCCGGCGCCCCCTCACTCCCGACCCGCAGCCCCTGCCCTTCCCAGCCCTGCCCCCCCCAGCCCTGCCGGCGCCCCTCACTCCCGACCCGCAGCCCCTGCCCTTCCCAGCCCTGCCCCCCCCAGCCCTGCCGGCGCCCCTCACTCCCGACCCGCAGCACCTGCCCTTCCCAGACCTGCCCCCCCAGCCCTGCCCGTGCCCCTCACTCCCGACCCACAGCCCCTGCCCTTCCCAGCCCTGCCCCCCCAGCCCTGCCGGCGCCCCCTCACTCCCGACCCACAGCCCCTGCCCTTCCCAGCCCTGCCCCCCCCAGCCCTGCGGGCGCCCCTCACTCCCAACCGCAGCCCATGCCCTGCCCTTCCCAGCCCTGCCCCCCCCCAGCCCTGCCAGCGCCCCTCACTCCCAACCTGCAGCCCCTGCCCTTCCCAGCCCTGCCCCCCCCAGCCCTGCCGGCGCCCCTCACTCCCAACCCGCAGCCCCTGCCCTTCCCAGCCCTGCCCCCCCCCAGCCCTGCCAGCGCCCCTCACTCCCGACCCGCAGCCCCTGCCCTTCCCAGCCCTGCCCCCCCAGCGCCCCTCACTCCCAACCCGCAGCCCCTGCCCTTCCCAGCCCTGCCCCCCCAGCCCTGCCAGTGCCCCTCACTCCCGACCCACAGCCCCCTGCTAGCCCAGCCCTGCCCCCCCCCAGCCCTGCTGGCGCCCCTCACTCCCGACCCGCAGCCCCTGCCCTTCCCAGCCCTGCCCCCCCAGCCCTGCCAGTGCCCCTCACTCCCGACCCACAGCCCCCTGCTAGCCCAGCCCTGCCCCCCCAGCTCTGCCGGTGCCCCCCACTCCCGCCCCGCAGCCCCCTGAAAATCAGAACTCCCTGTAAAAGGGGTTTCCCCCCTGGCTGGGCTCGGCCAGGCCGCTGTGGGGGGTTTATGGGGTTCTCTCAGGACACCCCCCCCACCGTCTCCCTTCCCCCCCCAGGGACACTCACGGAGCCGGTGCCGGGTGCTGGGAACTGACAAGCTGCTGTTTGTGTCTGATACAAACCCGGGCTCCCACCCACCCGCCAGTGACACCCAGCCCTCCTCCCCCGCCGGGACCCACTCGCAGCCCCCCCCGCCCTGCCTGGGCCAGGGCGGTGCCAGGGGGCCCCGTGCTGCAGGGAACGGGGCGGGGGGCCTTCCCCTCACAGCCCCACTGCTGACTGAGCCTAGGGGCTGCTGTAACCCCATCAGCAGGCTGGCTCAAGGGGGCAGGGAATGGGGCGCCGGGTCCCACCCGGCCCCAGGGCGGGGACTGGCTGGCTCAGGGGGGCAGGGAATGGGTTGTTTCTGGGTGTCAATGGCCTGTGGGGTGCATCAGAGCATGGAATAAAGTCGCCTCATGCTACCCCAACGGCAGAGATGCGCCCACCTCTGGGGCGAGGCGGCCGGTGACCCGGGGACCCCTCACCCGGCACTGAGATGCGGACACCTCTGGGGCGGGGCGGCCGGTGACCCGGGGACCCCTCACCCGGCACTGAGACGCGGACACCTCTGGGGCGGGGCGGCCGGTGACCCGGGGACCCCTCACCCGGCACTGAGACGCGGACACCTCTGGGGCGGGGCGGCCGGTGACCCGGGGACCCCTCACCCGGCACTGAGATGCGGCCACCTCTGGGGCGGGGCGGCCGGTGACCCGGGGACCCCTCACCCGGCACTGAGACGCGGACACCTCTGGGGCGGGGCGGCCGGTGACCCGGGGACCCCTCACCCGGCGCTGAGATGCGGCCACCTCTGGGGCGGGGCGGCCGGTGACCCGGGGACCCCTCACGCGGCGCTGAGATGCACCCACCTCTGGGGTGTGTGGGGGGGGCAGTTTGTTTTAAACACCCCTCCCCTTTTGGACTGGTACTTTGCCCTCTCCGATTGTCACTGCTCAGACGGGAAAGGGTTAAGAGGGGCGGGGCCTGAGACCAGGGCGAGGGTTTCCTGGCAGACCCTGACCCCCCCCCCCCCCCCCCCCCCAGGTGCCACCAAGTCTGGGGTCTTATCAAGGCTCTGCCTTGTGAAAAACAAACAGGGGCTGGATCCCGACGGGCCTGAAGCCCCCGTGTGGCGCTAGGGGGCGCTGGGGGGCAGGGAGGGGGGCTCGGCAGGGGGCGGGGCGGGGGGCGCTCTCCCCCGGCAGGCGGGGCTGGCCCCAGGGCGGCACTAGGGGGCGCTGTGGGGCAGGGCGGGGGGGGGGGCTCGGCAGGGGGCGCTCTCCCCGGGCAGGCGGGGCTGGCCCCAGGGGGGTGCTGGGGGGCAGGCTAGGGGGCGCTGTGCCAGGGCGGCGGTAGGGGTGTGGGGGGCAGGGGGGGGCGGGGGCTCGGCAGGGGGCGCTCTCCCCGGGCAGGCGGGGCTGGCCTGGGACAGGGGACACTGGGGGGGCAGGGGGGCGGGGCGGAGGGCCCCCGGAGGCGGGGCTGGCCCCCGGCGCTAGGGGGTGTGGGGGGCAGGGAGTGGGGCGGGGGCCCGGCAGGGGGCGCTCCCCGGGCAGGGGGGCTGGCCCAGGGAGCACTAGGGGGTGCGGGGGCAGGGGGGGGGGGGCCCCCCAGGGCGGCACTAGGGGGTGCTGGGGGGCAGGGAGCGGGGCGGGGGGCTCGGCAGGGGGCGCTCTCCCCGGGCAGGCGGGGCTGGCCCCAGGGCGGCACTAGGGGGTGCTGGGGGGCAGGGAGCGGGGCAGGGGGCTCGGCAGGGGGCGCTCTCCCCGGGCAGGCGGGGCTGGCCCCAGGGCGGCACTAGGGGGGTGCTGGGGGGCAGGGAGCGGGGCGGGGGGGCTCGGCAGGGGGCGCTCTCCCCGGGCAGGCGGGGCTGGCCCCAGGGCGGCACTAGGGGGTGCTGGGGGGCAGGGAGCGGGGCAGGGGGCTCGGCAGGGGGCGCTCTCCCCCGGCAGGCGGGTTCGGGGCGCTAGGGGGTGCGGTGCTCGGGGGGGATCCATGGGGGAGGCACCTTCGTCCATCCACACACCCTGTACGGATGGATTTTAACCCCTTTCAAAGCCCCCCACCCCCAACCCCAGTTTTCATTCCTTGCCCCGAATTACCCCTCCCTCGCCTGAGGATGGGGGGAGGGGAGGGCCGCCCCCCCCCCAGGTCTTCCGCCTCCCCCCTCCCCACTTAACGCTTTCCATGGAGGGTGGGGCTGCTCCGGTCCGGTTTCCCTCCCCCGGCTTGCGAATGTCCAGGGGTGACCTGCATCGTTCAGGGCAGCAAACGAGTCACACCCAGAGTCTTGGCCGTTTCTAGCCCCGCCCCCCCCAAATCCTACCGCTGCCCCCAAGTTCTTAGCTTTGATCCTATGTGTGTGTCCGGGGGGGGGGGATTGAAACCATCTTTTGCCAAACACAGGGACACCCAGGAGGGCAAGTAGGGCTCAATGGGTGATACCATGGGAGAGAACCCAGGAGTCCTGGCTCCCAGCCCCCCTCTCCAAACCACCAGCTCCCGCTCCCCTCCCAGAGCCGGGGAGAGAACCCAGGAGTCCTGCCAGTTCGTTCCCAAGTCCATCTTGCTGCCTTGCTAACGGGCCCCGGGCCCGATTCCCCGCCCCCCCGAGCCAGCCACTCCCCGGCCTGGGGCTGGAGGGGAGCAGGCGTCCCCACAGACGGGACAGGCCCCTCTACCCCAGCCTCTCCCTCCCTTAGCAGAGACGAGACAGACACGAAATAGTTTCCACCTTAACTTAACATCAAATATAAACTCTGTGGCCCCCGCCGCGTCGGCCTCCGAGTCTCTGGCCGTGTCGCTGTTTCAAACAGTGCTGAGAGATTTGTGTGTCCAGGCTCCCTACGCGTCCGGGGGATCGTCAGCCGTCAGCGAGCCCAGTCCCCCTTCTCCAGTGGCCCTGCGATGCGGCCACCTCTGGGGCGGGGCGGCTGGTGACACGGGGACCCCTCGCCCGGCGCTGAGATGCGGCCACCTCTGGGGCGGGGCGGCTGGTGACCCGGGGACCCCTCGCCTGGCGCCGAGATGCGGCCACCTCTGGGGCGGGGCGGCTGGTGACACGGGGACCCCATGCCCGGCGCCGAGATGCGGCCACCTCTGGGGCGGGGCGGCTGGTGACACGGGGACTCCTCGCCCGGCAGTGAGATGCGGCCACCTCTGGGGTGGGGCGGCTGGTGACCCGGGGACCCCTCGCCCGGCAGTGAGATGCGGCCACCTCTGGGGCGGGGCGGCGGGCGCCCCAGGGACCCCTCGCCCGGCGCCGAGATGCGGCCACCTGTGGGGTGGGGCGGCTGGTAACACGGGGACCCCTCGCCCGGCGCTGAGATGCGGCCACCTCTGGGGTGGGGCGGCTGGTGACACGGGGACCCCTCGCCCGGCGCCGAGATGCGGCCACCTCTGGGGCGGGGCGGCTGGTTATGCACGGACTCCTCACCTGCCCACCCCACCCCCGGATACTAGTCTTCAGAGACAGACAGCTGTCAGTTCCACTGATGTAATTTCCCGCTGGGTGTTGGGGAGATCCAGTCGGTGCGTCGAGCCGTGCCAGGGCTGATGGACAGCTGTCAGTCATCCTCGTATTTCTCCTCTGATGTCATGGCGACAGTCCAGGCAGTCTGGTTTGGGGGCTGATTGACAGCTGTCAGTCACCCATCAAAGTTTAAACCCCCCTCTTCCTTGCTGTAAGCCAGGATTCTGGGATGATTGACAGCTGTCAGTCACTGAGTGAGATTTTCCTGAGGCTCCATGTCGGCTGTCCGGTGGGCGGATGATTGGTGGCTGTCAATCATCTGCCGCCAGGAAGGTTCTGAGGGGGGGAGAGGGCGGAGTGCTGTGGTGGTCGGGGCTGGGCGGGAGCCCCTCACCTGGTGTCGGGCCGGCAGGCGTCCGTCAGGAACAGCTTGACCCGCCCCCGCAGGAAGTTGGAGTGGACGCTGAGGAGTTTGGCCAGAGTCTGGATGCCGAGGGTGGGGGGCGGGGCTGGGGGCAGGGCCGGCTCCACCTAGGGGAGATGGGGGGGCGCTTAGAGGGGGGCACTTTTATGGGAAACATTTACCCCTCTGTCCACCCATCCCCCCACAGTGTTTCTTCCCACTCCACAAATTCATCTGTCTGTCCGTCCATCCATTCCTCCATCCACACATCCATCCGTCCATCCATCTGCACATCCGTCCGTCCCTCCATCCACACATCCATCCATCCATCCATCCGTCCATCCATCCACACATCCATCCGTCCATCCCTCCATCCACACATTCATCCATCCATCTGTCCATCCATCCATTTGTTCATCCGTCCGTCCCTCCATCCATCCATCCGTCCGTCCATCCATGCACACATCTGTCCGTCCCTCCATCCATCCATCCACACATCCATCCGTCCGTCCCTCCATCCACACATTCATCCATCCATCCACACATCCATCCGTCCCTCCATCCATCCGCACATCCGTCCGTCCCTCCATCCATCCATCCACACATCCATCCGTCCATCCCTCCATCCACACATTCATCCATCCATCCCTCCATCTGTCCATCCATCCATTTGTTCATCCGTCCGTCCCTCCATCCATCCATCCGTCCGTCCATCCATGCACACATCTGTCCGTCCCTCCATCCACACATTCATCCATCCCTCCATCCACACATTCATCCGTCCATCCGTCCCTCCATCTGTCCATCCCTCCATCCACACATCCATCCGGCCATCCATCCATCCATCTATTTGTTCATCTGTCCGTCCGTCCATCCATCCACACATCCGACCGTCCATCCATCCACACATTCATCCGTCCATCCATCCATTTGTTCATCTGCCCGTCCATCCCTCCATCCGTCCGTCCATCCTTCCATCCGTCCGACCGTCCATCCATCTGTCCAGTCACCCGCAGCATCCGTCCGTCATTCTGTTCACCCCCCTTGCCCCCCGGTGCCCCTCACCTGGGCGTTGTGGCTGCGCAGGATCTGGGTGACGCCGCGCAGGTTGCTGTAGGTGCGGCCCAGCTGCTGGCTCAGGGACGGGTCGGGGACCAGGTCCCGGGCCCGGAGCACGGCGGCCGAGAGTAGGGCCTGCCCCCCCCACACCTCCGCCGCCTGCGTCTGCCTCTGGGGAGGGAGGGCAGGGTCAGATCCCCGGGCTCCCCCAGCCCAGCACCCCCAGATTAGACCCCCTGTCCCCCCAACCCAGCTCCCCCCAGATCAGACCCCCAGCCCCCTCCTGGCTCAGACCTCCCCCAACCCCGTTCAGACTCACGTCCATTTTCTTCCACTCGTTAAAATTAACTTTCGTGTCGGGCACCGTGAGAACTTCTGATAAGTTGCAAGAATTTGTACAACCTTCCTGTAACGAGACCAAACCGCCTGACACCATGGAGCTGGTTCTTCGGGGACCCCTCGCCCGGCGCCGGGAAGCGGCCACCTCTGGGGCGGGGCGGCGGGTGACCCGGGGACCCCTGGCCCGGCGCTGAGATGCGGCCACCTCTGGGGCGGGGCGGCCGGGGAGCCGGGGACCCCTCGCCCGGCACCGAGACGCGGCCACCTCTGGGGCAGGGGGGCGGGTGACCCGGGGACCCCTCCCTTGGGGCTGACGTGGGTGGGAACGTACCATGGCGTTCTCAGTGTCTCTGGCCTCCTTGATGAATTTCTCCATGACTCGAGCATCGCAAATGGGGTGCAGCGGGGAGGGGCAAGTTAGTGCAGCGAGTCCCAGCAGTAACAACGGCAAAGCACAGAGCCCTGGGTGGGGGAGACGGTTGTGAGACAGAGGGACCCCTCCCTCCATCCATCCCTCCATCCATCCCCCCACACTCCTCCATCCCAGCCTCCATCCCTACACACTCCCTCCTTCCACCCCTCCCTCCCTCCATCCATCCATCCACCGAACCCCACACACGCCCATCCTCCCGTCTGTCCGTCCGGTCCCCCACACCCGTCTACGTGCTACTTCCACCCGCCCGCTACTTCCACCAGCTCCCCGCGGTCATGGTGCAAATCCCTGCATCCCCCCTTTCCAGCTCCTGCCCCCCGTGAGGCAGGGAGGAGACCTTCCATCGGGCCTCACTGAACCAGCGGCTTGGAAATTCCCGAGGAGCCGATCGGTGGCGGTACCGTGACCGGGGGCGGGGTGGGGGGGAGAGCGAATTCAGACAAATGAACGTGAGTTAAAAATTCTCCACACTTGATTTGGAGCAAACATCCATACCCGGAGCCAATCTCCTTTCATTACGGGCCTGGCTCCTTGTCTTTCCAGTCCTGCGTTGATTGTATCGTCCCAAGAGGAGGAGTTCCCGGGCTCCTCCATCATGCGCTTTCTTTCCGCGAGCGGCGGGCTTTTTGAGGACGCTTTTGGTGCCCTTCCAAAGGAGCAAATCTTTTCCCGTGCAGTCATGAGCATCGATGGCTCTCGGCGGCAGCATAGACTTGGACAATCCTAGTGAAGACGGCCTTCGCTCTTGATTCAAGCTCAGATGGACCTCGAAGCGGCTCTCCAGTAGGTGGGTGAGGTTTCTCCTGATAAAACCTTTAGCGTCCCTCTTCGCCAACGCAACCGACCTCCCCCAAGACTGGTTCCTCACTCTGCTTCCTAGATCTTCCAACTCTTCGTGGCGCTCATGGTAGGCTTGCCTCTGGTCATCCCCGTTGGTCTTGTCGCTCGGTTTTCCCGTTGGCGTCTTCCACCGTTCTCCCAACGCAACCGGTTCCCGCATAAGGCCGGAAATCTTACCGCATCCTGCTGCTTTCTCTTGGTTGTTGGGTTTGGCCCTCAAAGACAAGACAAATATTAGCCATAATTAAGGTGCCAAGAGGTCTTCTCGTGATGTAGGCTTTGGAGAGGACTTGATGCCCATGGAGAAGTCAGCGACTGTCTTGGGCCACGTCTATGCTACCACGTGAGGCTGACCTACCTTACGTCGACATGCAGTAATGCCGTCTCCGCAACGTGATTCCTGCAGGGGGCACGGTGGGACGGCTCCCGACAGCCGGTCGCCGTTGCCGGGAGCCGTGCGGCATCAGCAGGGCCCGGGGGTCGAATTAGCTTCCTCGGCTGCGCGTCTACGCTGCTCGGAGAGGGGGCGGGGGAGCGCCGGGAACGAAATGTATGGGTCGACGCTTCCAGAGTCGGGTCGCCACGAGCTGCCTTGGGTCGACCGCACGTTGCCACTGCCTTCCGGTACGGCCGCGGGCGGGAGGATGGATGGACGTCCTCGCGTCTGTGCCGTGGGCCGGGTATTTTCCCACCCCAAGTGTCCGCCTCTTGATTTGGCAGCCAGCTAATTTGGCAGCAAAGTCCGGAGCGGCGGTTGTTGGTGGCCGGTTTGGGCCTCCCCGGCGTGGCTTGGTCCAGGTGGACAGGGAACCGCTGCGACCATCGGCTCGGACTCCCTGGGTCACGCAGGCCCCCATGCCGAGGCGACGCGTAGGCCCACCCCTCCCCCCAATTTCTGCCAGGGTTTTGTCAGTCCCGCCCCCCAGCCCCTGGAGCCAGGCCACAGAGGCGTCTCTCTGGGGCCCCCCCTTGCGTTGAGCCGAGTCGGTTTTGGCCAGGTCCTCAGCGGCTCTGTTTGTCCTGCCCGCCTGTGTCTCTTGGTCGCCGTGTAGCGTACAGGAGGGAAACTGAGGCACGGGCCGGCTTCACCCAAACGTTCCCACTTCGTCGCATAAACGACCCTTGCTTGTCCCAGGGAGGGGGTCTGTGCCCCAACCTGGTCTTAAAAACATCCCAGGCCTTCCCGTCCTACCCTGGTGGAGGAGAGCTGATCACCAAACCCACCCCCCCGCACCAGCTGTCTCTCCGCTAGACTTCACACGCCCGATTCTTTCAACTTCCCCTCATCAGCCGCGGTCCCCGAACCGCCGAGCCGGTCTCCCGCGCTCCTTCCAGGAGCTCCCCATCCTCGGCCACCGGCCACAGGAAGACGCCAGTTTCAGCTTCGGTTTCAGATCGGTCAGAGGCAAAGGAGGCTTCGGGTCCGGCGCTCGGAGCTGGAACTCGTCGGCCTCTCGTCCTAGGGAGCTCCCGGGCAGCCCCCCCAACCCCGGTCTCTCGGCTTCAGCCCAAATCACCTGGTTGCTTTCCCTGGCAGCCCGGTGCCGAGCTTGCGCCATGAACCCTCCTGACACGGTTTCCCCAGCCGGCGCTGCCAGGAAGGGTCCTGAGCCTACGCCAGCGGCCAGACTGGGTGACTTCTGGAGACGTGCCTGAAACGCTCCTGCCTTGGCCGCTCTTCAGAGAGCTTCTGCTCATCAAACCGGCGCCAGCCACCGGGCACCCCTGGCTCTGCGGCTGGACCCCCCACAGGAGGCTACCCGGAGTGGGGCCCCGGTTGTGGGTCAGGGGCGCGGGCCCCCTGGCATTCTCCCATAGAGCTACACGGTCCGCGTGGCCCCCCACCTCTTTCCATCCATCTGTCTCCATCCACACACCCCCAACCCTGCCTCACAGCCCCTCCCCCCCATTGCATCCCACAGATCTACACACGGGGGTATGTAGGGTGAATCAGAACTCCTGGGTTCTCTCCCCGACTGTGGGACGGGAGGGGGGTCCGGTGGGTTAGAGCAGGGGGGCTGGCAGCCAGGACTCCTGGGTTCTCTCCCTGGCTCCAGGTGAGGAATGGGGTCTGGTAGGTTAGAGCAAGGGGTCTGGCAGCCAAGACTCCTGGGTTCTCTCCCCGGCTGTGGGAGGGGAGTGGGGGCTGGTGGTTAGAGCTGGGGGGGCTGGGAGCCAGGACTCCTGGGTTCTCCCCCTGGCTCTGTATCCCAGACCCCGAACCCGACCATGTTAGTCCTTGCACCCTGGAGCCTGATCCAAAGTGAGTGAGGTGGGCCAGCGGGGAATGGGGCATGGGGCCGGTCCCCACTAGGGGGCGCCGCCTCCTATCCAGCTGCAGAATGGGGGGAGGGGGGTCCCGGCTGGCTCAGGGAGCTGGGGTTCGGGGCTGTTCCCCATTTCTGGGGTGGGGGTGCATCTTTAGTGAGCCTCCAGCGAACGAGACCCCTCCTCCCCCTCTCCCTCGCCGTGGGACAGGACCCCGGCGTCCGGGGCAGAGCGACTCACCAGAGCTCCCCATATCCAGTCTGCATCGCCTCACGGCCTAGTGGGGGCCCCGGGCTCCCATCCCGGCGTGCAATCCACGAGGCCGCGGGCCCCAGACGTCCCGGCTACTCCGGAGGGGGCATCGCCTGCCTGGATCCGGCCCCCAGCCAAGCGCCCCCCAGCCCCCAGCTGGCTCCCCGCTGCTCCGTGCCTCCACAGAGCCGGCAGCGAAGCTGGGAGTTAATGTTTCATCCGAACTCTGCTTCCCGAGGTCGCAGGAGCCTGTCCGGCTGCAGGAATGTGCCGGGGGGCCACGACCGGAGCCGGGCGCTTTAGAGCCCGGGCTGGGGGTGGGGGGGAAGGGCCGGAAGCTGGGGGGTTTCCTCAGGCCCGCGCCGGAGGCCGCGTCTTCGAGGAAAGGGCCATGCGGGCGGCCGCACGTCGGCTCCTGGCCCGGCGCCACGAGGCCATGACAGGTTCGCGGCCCGAGGTCGCCAGGCGCAAGGGGCGGCCAAGGGCCCAGCCCACCCCCCGCCCCCCCGGGCCTTGGAGTGGCAGCTGTCAGTCCCACCCGGGCGTCAGGAGGTGGGGTGGGGTTTGGAAGAGCGGGGGATGGAACCCAGGAGTCCGGGCTCCCAGCCCTCTGTGTGGAGATTGGGGTCTGGTGGTTAGAGCAGGGGGGCTGGGAGCCAGGACTCCTGGGTTCTCTCCCTGGCTCTGGGAGGGCAGTGGGGCTGGGAGGCAGGACTCCTGGGTTCACGACCGCGCACTCTCAGGCCCTGGTTCCAGACCTGGAAGGCTACACGTAGGCCGGGGCTGGGGGGGTCCCCGCAGGGGCCCATGTGCGTCCATCCCCCCCAGGGGAGCGTCTCCGACCCGGGTTCAGGCTGCAGAGGCGTCGGGCTGCCTGGAGAAGCCGCAGGGACCGAGCGCTTCATTTTCCATCCTCTCCGCGCGGGAGGAAGCCGCTAACAATGGGGCCCTGATTGTCTGCGAGACGCTGACGCTGGCCAGCGGCTCCAGGCGTCTGTCACACCAGTGGGGCGCGTGAGCCCTCACCCGGCGCTGAGATGCAGCCACCTCTGGGGCGGGGCGGCGGGTGACCCGGGGACACCTCGCCCGGCGTTGAGATGCGCCCACCTCTGGGGCGGGGCGGCCGGTGACCCCTCGCCCGGGGCTGAGATGCGGCCACCTCTGGGGCGGGGCGGCCGGTGACCCCTCGCCCAGCGCTGAGATGCGCCCACCTCTGGGGCGGGGCGGCCGGTGACACGGGGACCCCTCGCCCGGCGCGGAGACGTGCCCACCTCTGGGGTGGGGCGGAGGGCTAGTGGGCTCAGAGCAGCGCGTACCAGCTTAGGACAGGATGGGACATTCCCGACGGGACGGGAACGCCTGGGGATATTTAGGGAGGTGGAACGGCTTGGCTGGGGAGAGCGACCCCTGGAGAGCCCCCCCCATCCAGCTGCCCCCTGCCCAAAGCCCCGCGGGGGGCCCGCTCTGAGCCTTTCAGGAGGCAGGGATCCACCACCCCTGGACCCTGCTCCCCACGCTGGAGAGAACCCAGGAGTCCTGGCTCCCAGCCCCCCTTGTGGGGTGGGGGGAGGCAGTGGCAGGACCCCCACCCCAGCGGCTGCAGGCCGCTGACCCATGCTGGGCCTGGGCCAAGGATAACAGCGGGGCAGACGTGCCGGGCTGCAGGGAGTGGGGCTGCCAGGGCCATCGACCCCGTAGCCTTCGGCAAACAGAGCCGGGCCCCGGCGCCAGGGCCGGTCACTCATCAACCGGGGGGCAGCAGGGGAAAGGGCAGAGCGGGCGGGCACCGGCCCTGCCTGGCCTCCCCATGCCCTCTGCTGGGGCCCCCAGGGTCCCCTGCCAGCCCCCCGTGGCTTCTGCCAGGCCCCCAAATCCCCTGACCCCGTGACCTCTGGCCCAGCCCCCCCATGGCCTCTGCTGGGACCCCCCTTATCCCCTACCTACCGAGCCCCACTCTGACCCCACGGGTCGCCCACCCAGCCCCCGTGTGCCCTGCCCAGCCCCCGAGTGACCCTGCCGGGCCCCCCACCCAGTCCCCTTCTGACTCCGAGAAAGCCCCCCTGGCCCAGCTTTCCCATGTCTCCTGCCTCCCGCCCCGCCCCCTTCTGTCCCCAGTCCAACCCCCCATCCAGGCCCCCTCTGACGCCTGCCCCCCACCCAGCCCCCGCTAGTATCATGCAGGCTCCCAATCCCAGCTCTGCCAGGTGCTCCACACAACCCAGTGCTGGGCATGGGACCCTCAGCCCCACATGGGCTGCCAAACTCAGCCTGCCCCCCGAGCGGGCTCTGCCTCTGGCCCAGGTGTCTGACACGCGCAGCCAGCGACGGGCGGGGTCAGGGCTGGGAGCCCGGACGCCTGGGTTCTCTCCCCAGCTCTGGGAGGGGAGTGGGGGCTGGCGGGTTAGAGCAGGGGGGGCTGGGAGCCAGGACGCCTGGGTTCTATGCTCAGCTCTGTCACTGTATCTAGATTCTTACTCTGGGAATTTCCACCTCATTGCCTGTCTTGGGGGTTTATACGGGGACCCCTCGGCCGGCGCCGAGATGCGGCCACCTCTGGGGCGGGGCGGCTGGTTACAGCGAGCTGCTATCCGGACCCCCAGGTTTATGCCCCGCCGTGGGGGATCTGGGTTTAGAGGCTGGTTTCACAGGGAATGAAGCGGCGAGGCTGGTACCAGGAACCGGACCTGGGTAGGAAGGGTCTGGCCCCCCGCGGGAGGTCCTGGAGCTGCCGGCCACCAGCAGGGACAGGCCCCGGGCCCCGTTCCCTGCCCCCCTGAGCCAGCCAGTGCCCCCCAACTGATGTCACACGGGGGCCCAAGTCCAGTGCTGACCAAGACCCTGGTCGCTTTTATTGTTCAATCCAACAGATGTAGGCCATGAGGCAGGTCCCTGCAAGGATGGGGGCGGCTTTCCCCAGCCTCCCGCAACACCCCAAAGTCAGAATCTGTGCCCCCCACAATCTGCATCCCCTCGGGCTCCGGCATCCAATTCGGGGAGGCATTCAGTCTTGGTTGGGTGTGGGGAGGAGGGGAGTGGATGGGTGGTGGCGGGTGGTCCAGAAAGGGATTAAAGATTCCCCCCCCCATATGAATGTAGCCAGACAGGTTGGCGTGGGGGCGGCTCCATGCCAGTGGGGAGGATGTGGGGGCGGCTCTGTGCCAGTGGGGGCAGGCTCCAGGGGCATCTGTGTGCTGGGGCTCTGTCCTGGGGCACTGGAGCAGGGCTTTCGGGGAGCAGGCTCCGTGCCGGGAGGGGGCCAGGCTCCGGGGCCCGGCTCTGCGCCGGGGCAGGGCTTTCGGGGAGCAGGCTCCGTGCCGGGAGGGGGCCAGGCTCTGGGGCCTGGCTCCGCGCCGGGGCAGGGTTTGGAGCAGGCTCCGTGGGGAGGGGGAGGCTCTCCGTGCGGGGGCAGGGCTTTCGGGGAGCAGGCTCCGTGCCGGGAGGGGGCCAGGCTCTGGGGCCTGGCTCTGCGCCGGGGCAGGGCTTTCGGGGAGCAGGCTCCGTGCCGGGAGGGGGCCAGGCTCTGGGGCCCGGCTCTGCGCCGGGGCAGGGCTTTCGGGGAGCAGGCTCCGTGCCGGGAGGGGGGGCCAGGCTCCGCGCCCCGGCTCGGCTCCCTCAGGGCGGGGGCGAGGCCCGGCACACCCGGATGTGGATGGCGGAGTTGTTGCGGGCCCGGGCCAGCGGCGGGCGCCCGTCCTCGTCGCCCTGGGGCTCCAGCCCGTCGGCCAGCTCCACGGTGGAGGTGTTGGCGGCCAGCCGCAGGCCACCGGCGCCGGCCGCCTGGAGCTGCAGCGCGATGTTGATGGCCCGGTTGATGGCCAGGCCCAGGCCGTGGATGCAGATCTCGGCGCAGCCGCCCGCCGGGCCCAGGAGCTTCTGGCACCGGCTCAGCTGGGCCTTGAAGTCCGTCTTCATGTTGACGTAGACGTCGCCTGGGCGCCGGGGCAGCCGGGGGGGCAGGCGGCGCCGCAGGGCCAGCTCCGCCGTGGGGGGCGCCGGCTCCGCCATGGGTCTGGGGGGGGAGAGAGAGGGGAGTCCAGGGCCGCCTGCCCCCACGTTCCCCACCCCGGGGCCCCCCCGAATCCAGCCTCCTGTGCGCCGCACCCACCAGCCCTCCCCTCGCAGCTCCCCCCACCTCTCCCCGGTCCCGACGTCCCCCAGGCCCCCCCCAGGGCATCGCCAGCCCCCTAGAATCCCCCTCCAGAGCATCGCCAGCCCCCTAGAATCCCCCTCCAGCCCCCCCGACCCTCCTGTAGCACCCCCCGGCCAGACGTCCCCCAGAGCATCGCCAGCCCCCTAGAATCCCCCTCCAGAGCATCGCCAGCCCCCTCCAACTCTCCCAGAGCATCGCCAGCCCCCTAGAATCCCCCTCCAGCCCCCCCGACCCTCCTGCAGCGCCCCCCGGCCAGACGTCCCCCAGAGCATCGCCAGCCCCCTAGAATCCCCCTCCAGTCCTCCAGCCCCCCGTTCCCCTGCCCCCCCAGAGCATCGCCAGCTCCTCCCGAACCGCCCCTCCAGTCATCCCCCTGCCCCCCACCTACCCACCCCCAACCAGAGTCACAGCCCCATGCGGCCCCCCTCCCCTCCCCCGCCCCCAACTCTCCCCCTCACCCCACAGCGCCCCGAATGACACCCCGCCCCCACTCAGGGTCCCCTGGGGCGGCCCCCCACTCACCTCCCTGTGTCCCCAGCGCAGGCCGAGCCGCCGCTTCCGCTTCCGCTTCCGCCTCCACCCCGGCCCTGCGCGCGCATGGAACGTTCATACAACCCGCCGGGAGCGCGCGTGGAACGTTCATACAAACCCCCCGCCCCGCCCGGAGCGCGCGTGGAACGTTCATACAACCCGCCGGGAGCGCGCGTGGAACGTTCATACAAACCCCCCGCCCCGCCCGGAGCGCGCGTGGAACGTTCATACAACCCGCCGGGAGCGCGCGTGGATGGGTTAAGGGGACGGGGCTCCACGGGAGGGTTAGGGGAGATGGGGGGCCCAGAGGTTGTGGGGTGGAGGGGGAATCCCGGGGGGTTAGGGGAGATGGGGGGCCCAGAGGTTGGGGGGTGGAGCGGGGATCCCAGGGGTTACGGGAGATGGGGGCCCCAGAGGTTGAGGGGTGGAGGGGGAATCCCGGGGGGTTAGGGGAGACGTGGGGCCCCTGAGGGAGCAGAGGGGAAGAGTCCAGGGTTTAGAGGGAGATGGGGGGGGCCCTGGAAGGGAGTAGGGTGAGCTAAGAGGAGAGATGGGGCCCTGGGGGGTTACAGGAGAATGGGGGAGCCTGGGAGTTTAGAGGGAGATGGGGACAAGGGAGGTTAGGGGGAGAAGCCTGGGGGAAATGGGGGGCTATGGGGGAGAGGGGGCCCCAGAGGGAGGGGGAGCCCCAGGGATTAGGGGCCCAGCAGGTTGAGGGGAGATGGGCCACAGGGGGTTTGGGAGACATGGGGGGCAGGGGGTGGGGGAGATGGGGCTCTGGGGAGGCAGGAGAAAGGGGCCCCTGGGGGAAAAGCTCAGGAAGGGAATGAAGCCCCCGCCCCCCGGGTCCCTCTCTGGACTATTCCACCCCCCCCCCCAGCCCCGGGCAGGGACTGTCTGTCCATCCCCCCCGTCCATCCCCCCCGAATTCCGGGGCGGGGGTGGGGGGCTTGACATTCTTTCCACCCTATAAAGTGGTGGGGAGGGGGGGCAGTTTCCAAACCCCCCCACGAGGACAGAGCCACCTGGAAGTTTCATGCCCAGTTTATTTTTCCACCTGTTGAGGATGCCTTTGCTCCCGGGGAGTCAAAGGTCGCCTTGGACCCAGACCAGCCCTTCGCCTGCCCCCCTGTTAATCCATAACCCAGAGCCAGGGAGAGAACCCAGGAGTCCTGGCTCCCACGCCGCTCTGGTACCAGGTGCCCCAGGGAGAGGTGTCTCCCACAGGCTCCAGACAGCTGGGGGCCCTTCCCCTGGGTTTGTTGCCACAACAGCAGGGTGGGACTGGGGAGGGGGATGCCCTGAAGCTTTGCAAAGCTCAGGTACTACCCACTAACTCCCTCACCCCCCCACCTCGCTGCCCGGAGCAGAGCCGGCCAGTGCCCGGCCCTGGGGCCAGATCGGAGCCGCTGGCCTTGGCAGAGAATCTGCCTCTGTCTGTCTGTCCATCCCCAGGAAAAGATCTAACCTCACCCTGGGCCCCACATGGCTACAGTGACACTGTATGTCCCTAGACACAGGCCTCTGGCCATCCATCGCCCCCCTCTGTCTATCTATCCCCACCCACTCCTCTATCTATCTATCTATCCCCATCCACCCCCTCTATCTATCTATCCCCATCCACCCCATCTATCTGTCTGTCTGTCCCCACACCCACCCTCTAATCTCCGCACACTCTCTCTTTCTGTCGTCCCCCCCGCCTGGCTTCGCCCGGCCCAGACCGGTGTCCCTGGCTCCAGGCAGCTGGTTCCGCTCCCCGCAGGGTGGGGCAGGGCTGATGGGGCTATAAACCCTAGGGAGAGGGGGTGGGTGCCAGCCACTGGAGCCAGGCAGGGCCATGGGGCTGTGCAACTCGAGAAAGGGGGAGGCCAAGGAGGGGTTTGGGGGGCCAGGGCCCCAGGGGCGGCACCTGGACAGTGAGCTGCTCGGGGAGACGTACCAGAAGCTGTTTGGCAGGGACCAGCGGCCACGGGGGTGCAAGGTTGTGCAAAGAGTGATACAGGCTCTGAAACGTAAGGGGGCCGCGGGTAGGGAGTGAGGGGCACCGGCAGAGCTGGGGGGGGCAGGGCTGGGCTGGCAGGGGGCTGCAGGTCGGGAGTGAGGGGCACCGGCAGGGCCGGGGGGGCGGGGCTGGGCTGGCAGGGGCTGCAGGTCGGGAGGGGCACCGGCTGGGCTCGGGGGGCTGCGGGTCAGGAGTGAGGGGCACTGGCAGGGCCGGGGGCTGCGGGTCGGGAGTGTGGGGCAGCCTCCGTCCGTCTCTCTGGCAGCGCTGGGTCTGTCCGTCCGCTCCCCGATCCTGAAGCTGGGCGAGGACTGGATCTTCCTCTTCCTCCTGGGCATCTGCATGGCGACCATCAGCTTCGGCCTCGACGTCGTCATCTCCAAGTTCCAGCGAGGTGCCCCCCGACCCCCCTCCGATCCCCAGCCCCCCCATCCCGCGGGGCCCCAGGGCCGGGGGAATCGCTGGCAGGGGCAGCATGAGGGGGACATGATTTGGGGTCCCCTGTCAGCCGCTGAACCCTCCCTGCATTCGACCCCCCGCCCCAGATCCCGGGTGCTCCATGGAGCCCCCCGTACAGCGCTGGGGGGCGCAGGGGGGGTCCTGGCCCTGGGGCCCGGCACTGACCCCCCCCTTGCCCCCCAGCCAACCTGTGGGTGTATGACACGCTGGAGGGGTATCGTGCCCTGCAGTATTTCTCCTGGGTCCTCTACCACACGGGGTTCATGACGGTCGCGGCCGGAGTCGCCAAGTACATCTCGCCGCAGGCTGCCGGTAGGGCCCGGGCCCCCCAACCCCACCGCAGCCCCGAGGTCCCAGGGATGGGGGCATTGGGGGGGCTCTGAATGCGGGGTCCCCCATCCCTGGGGCTGTGGGGGGCTGTGAACGTGGGGTCCCTGATCCCTGGGCTATGGGGGGCTGTGAACGCGGGGTCCCCGATCTCTGGGGCCATAAGGGGAGTGAACGTGGGGTCCCCGATCCCTGGGGCTGTGGGGGGGGGTGTGAACGTGGGGTCCCCGGGGCTGTGGGGGGTGTGTGAACGTGGGGTCCGCCATCCCTGGGGCCGTGGGGGGGCTGAACGCAGGGTCCCCCATCCCCGGGTCATAGGGGGCTGTGAGCGTGGGGTCCCCGATCCCTGGGGCCATGGGGGGGTGTGAACGTGGGGTCCCCAGGGCCGTGGGTGGTGAACGTGGGGTCCCCCATCCCTGGGACTGTGGGGGGCTGTGAATGTGGGTTCCCCCATCCCTGGGGCGGTGGGGGGCTGTGAACGCGGGGTCCCTGATCCCTGGGCTATGGGGGGCTGTGAACGCGGGGTCCCCGATCTCTGGGGCCAGGGGGTGTGTGAAGTGGGGTCCCCAGGGCGTGGGTGGTGAACGTGGGGTCCCCATCCCTGGGACTGTGGGGGGCTGTGAATGTGGGTTCCCCCATCCCTGGGGCGGTGGGGGGCTGTGAACGCGGGGTCCCTGATCCCTGGGCTATGGGGGGCTGTGAACGCGGGGTCCCCGATCTCTGGGGCCAGGGGGGTGTGTGAATGTGGGGTCCCCAGGGCCGTGGGTGGTGAACGTGGGGTCCCCCATCCCTGGGACTGTGGGGGGCTGTGAATGTGGGTTCCCCCATCCCTGGGGCGGTGGGGGGCTGTGAACGCGGGGTCCCTGATCCCTGGGCTATGGGGGGCTGTGAACGCGGGGTCCCCGATCTCTGGGGCCATAAGGGGAGTGAACGTGGGGTCCCCGATCCCTGGGGCCATGGGGGGTGTATGAACGGGGGGTCCCCGGGGCCGTGGGTGGTGAATGTGGGGTCCCCCATCCCTGGGGCTGTGGGGGGGGTGAACACGGGGTCTCCGGGGCCGTGGGGGGCTCTGACGCGTCCCCCCCCAGGCTCCGGGATCCCCGAGCTGAAGGTGACGCTCAGGGGGGTCGTGCTGAGCGAGTTCTTCACCCTGCGAACCGGCCTGGCCAAGCTGGTGGGGGTGATCTGCACCCTGGGGGCCGGCAGCACCATCTTCCTGGGCAAAGTGGTGAGTGGGGGGGATCTGGGGGGACGGGGGGCAGCTGGGTGTGTTGGGAGGAATTGGGGGGACAGGGTGTCTGCGGGGAGCTGGGGGAGAGGGGTCTCTGGGGGGATGTCTGGTGGTCAGGGGCTGGAGGAATTGGGGGGCTGGGGTCTCTGGGGGTGGGGGATTGGGGGGTTGTGGATCTGGGAGGTGGGGGCTGGGTGTGTTAGGGGGATCGGGGGGCTGGGGATTGGGGGGGATCTGGCGGGAGCTGCGTGACCCCGGTTCTCTCCCCAGGGCCCCTTTGTTCACATGGCCACGATCCTGGCCACCCAGCTGGGCCGGGTGATGGTGCGAGTTGCCGGCACCAAGGAGGTGAGTCCAGGGGGGTCCCTGGCCCCCCCAAATTTCCCCTGACCCCCAACCCGTCCCCTGGCCTCTCCCCCACCTCCCGCCCTGCCCCCAGCCCCCCACCTGCCTCTCACCCCCCATCTCTGCCCCCCAGAACCCGGCCCGCAAGTACGAGATGTTGGTGGCTGGGGCGGCCGTGGGGGTGGCCTGCTGCTTCGTGGCCCCCGTGGGAGGTGAGTGACCCCAAAGCGCTCACGGGGGGGCTGAGGAGGGCACATGGGGGACCCGGGGGGCACGTGGGGAGGTCTGGGGGTACGTGGGGGGCTCAGGGACGCCTGGGGGACCCGGGGGGCGCGTGGGGAGGTCTGGGGGTACATGGGGGGCTCGGGGACGCCTGGGGGACCCGGGGGGCGCGTGGGGAGGTCTGGGGGTACATGGGGGGCTCGGGGACGCCTGGGGGGGCCGGGGGGCGCGTGGGGAGGTCTGGGGGTACGTGGGGGGCTCGGGGACGCCTGGGGGGGCCGGAGAAGGGCAGGCGGGAGGTGCGTGTGGGGCGCGCGGGGGGCTCAGGGCCGGGCCGGGGGGGCCGGATCCCAGCTGCCCCCCCTGCCCCCCAGGGGTGCTGTTCTCCGTGGAGGCGACTGGGACGCACTTCGCCCTGCGGGATTATTGGCGCGGCTTCTTCTCTGCCACCTGCGCGGCCCTCGGCTTCCGCCTGCTGCCCCTGCTCCACGGGGAGAGCGGTACGGGGGGATCCAGGGGAGAGCGTTGGGGGGGGCTGGAGAACTGGGGGGCGGGGGGATCCGGGGGAGAGCGTTGGGGGGGGCTGGAGAACTGGGGGGCGGGGGGATCCGGGGGAGAGCGTTGGGGGGGCTGGAGAACTGGGGGCGGGGGGATCCGGGGGAGAGCGTTGGGGGGGGCTGGAGAACTGGGGGCGGGGGGATCCGGGGGAGAGCGTTGGGGGGGCTGGAGAACTGGGGGGCGGGGGGATCCGGGGGAGAGCGTTGGGGGGGGCTGGAGAACTGGGGGGCGGGGGGGATCCGGGGGAGAGCGTTGGGGGGGGCTGGAGAACTGGGGGGCGGGGGGGGGGGAGAGGGTTGGGGGGGGCTGGAGAACTGGGGGGCGGGGGGATCTGGGGAGAGTGTTGGGGGGGGCTGGAGAACTGGGGGGCGGGGGGATCCGGGGAGAGGGTTGGGGGGCTGGAGAACTGGGGGGCAGGGGAGATCCGGGGGAGAGGGTTGTGGGGGGCTGGAGAATTGGGGGCAGGGGAGATCCGGGGGAGAGGGTTGTGGGGGGCTGGAGAACTGGTGTATAGGGGAGGGGGAGATCCGGGGGGAGAGGTTTTGGGGGGCTGGAGAACTGGGGGGCAGGGGAGATCCGGGGGAGAGGGTTGCGAGGGGCTGGAGAACTGGGGGGTGGGGTAGATCCGGGGGAGAGGGTTGTGGGGGGCTGGAGAACTGGGGGGCGGGGGAGATCTGGGGAGAGATAGGGTTTGGGGGGGCTGGAGAAATGGGGTACGGGGGGAGATCTGGGGTCAGAGGGTTTTTGGGGGGCTGGAGAAATGGGGTACGGGGGAGGGGGCAGGGGGGCCGGATCACAGGGCTTTGGGGGCTGAGGGCCGGGCGAGGGGCCGGGCTGGGAAGACGGGGGGACCCAGCACCCCCAGACTAACCGTGGCCCCCCGGTGCCCCCCCCAGAGACGGTGGCCGTGCTCTTCAGCACCAGCTGGCGCGTCGAGTTCCCCTTCGACCTGCCCGAGCTGCTCTCGTTCGCCCTGCTGGGGTGAGTGGGGGGGACCCCGATATCCCCAGCCGGCCAGGCCCCGCCCCCAGCTGGCCAGGCCCCGCCCCCTCTGGCTAGGCCCCGCCCCAGCCGGCCAGGCCCCGCCCCTGCCCAGGGGACAGAGGTTGGCAGAGGGCTGGGGGCCAGGACGCCTGGGTTCTCTCCCGGCTCCGGGAGGGGGTGCGGTGGGGAGGCGCGGGCCCGGACGCCGGGGTTCGCCCTGACGCGTGTCCCCGCAGGGCGCTGTGCGGGGCTCTCTGCTGCGTCTTCCTCTTCTGCCACCGCAGCCTCCTGCCGCTCCTGCCCCGGCTGCGCCGCGGGTGAGTGCCCCCCAAACCCTCCCCCCGCCCCCGGGGTGCCCCCAGCTCCCCCCCAGACCCCCGTGCCAGGCCCCTCCTCTGCCCTGCCCCCATCTCCCCCCAGCCCCCCGTGCCAGGCCCCTCCTCTGCCCTGCCCCCATCGCCCCCCCAGCCCCCCGTGCCAGGCCCCTCCTCTGCCCTGCCCCCCATCGCCCCCCCAGCCCCCCCGTGCCAGGCCCCTCCTCTGCCCTGCCCCCATCGCCCCCCCAGCCCCCCGTGCCAGGCCCCTCCTCTGCCCTGCCCCCATCTCCCCCAGCCCCCCCGTGCCAGGCCCCTCCTCTGCCCTGCCCCCATCGCCCCCCAGCCCCCCGTGCCAGGCCCCTCCTCTGCCCTGCCCCCATCTCCCCCAGCCCCCCCGTGCCAGGCCCCTCCTCTGCCCTGCCCCCATCGCCCCCCAGCCCCCCGTGCCAGGCCCCTCCTCTGCCCTGCCCCCCATCGCCCCCCAGCCCCCCCGTGCCAAGCCCCTCCTCTGCCCTGCCCCCATTCCCCCCCAGCCCCCCCGTGCCAGGCCCCTCCTCTGCCCTGCCCCCCATCGCCCCCCAGCCCCCCGTGCCAGGCCCCTCCTCTGTCCTGCCCCCATCGCCCCCCAGCCCCCCGTGCCAGGCCCCTCCTCTGCCCTGCCCCCATCCCCCCCAGCCCCCCCGTGCCAGGCCCCTCCTCTGCCCTGCCCCCATCCCCCCCCAGCCCCCCCCATCATCAGCTCAGCCCCCGCCACAGCCCCCCTATATTCCCCCAGTGCCAGACCCCTCCCCCTGTCCTGCTCCCATCTGCCCCCATTGCCCCCCTGCCTCCCCCAGCCCCCTATCTCCCAGTGCCAGGCCCCACCCCCGCCCTGCCCCCCGTCTCCCCTTGCTCCCCCTTCACCCCCCCTTTCATTTACCGTCTACCCCGTTTTCTCCCCCCCCCCCGGCAGCGAAATCCTCCACGCGGGGCTGGTCTCCCTGGTGCTGGCGAGCGTCACCTTCCCCCACGGGCTGGGGCAGTACCTGGGGGCGCGGGGGTGACCCCCCGCTATCCCCCCCCCCCTCACCCCCTTTCTCCGCCCCCGGCTGGGATCCCCCCCCACTTCCCCGTCTCACCCCCCCTTTCTCCGCCCCCGGCTGGGATCCCCCCCACTTCCCCGTCTCACCCCCCCTTTCTCCGCCCCCGGCTGGGATCCCCCCCACTTCCCCATGTCACCCCCCTTCTCCCCCCCCCCCCCCCCCCCCCCCCTTTCTCCCCCCCGGCTGGGATCCCCCCGCTTCCCCGTCTCACCCTCCCTTTCTCCCCCCTGGCTGGGATCCCCCCACTTCCCCGTCTCACCCCCCTTTCCCGCCCCCGGCCCCCCCCCCCCTATCCCCCCCTTCCCCGTCTCACCCCCTTTCTCCCCCCCGGCTGGGATCCCCCCGCTTCCCCGTCTCACCCCCCTTTCTCCCCCCCGGCTGGGATCCCCCCCCCCGCTTCCCCGTCTCACCCCCCCTTTCTCCCCCCCGGCTGGGATCCCCCCCACTTCCCCGTCTCACCCCCCCTTTCTCCCCCCCGGCTGGGATCCCCCCCCGCTTCCCCGTCTCACCCCCCCTTTGTCCCCCCCCAGCTGACGATGAAGGAGCTGCTGGAGACTTTCTTCAACAACTGCACCTGGGGGCGGGCGGAGCTGGGGGGGCTCAATGCCTCCCGCCAGCCCCCCCACCCCTCCTACGGGGACCCCTGGCTCCAATGGACCCACCCGCAGCTCTCCTCCCTGGAGATGCTCAGCTTCTTCCTGCTCGCCAAGGTGGGGGGCCGGGGGGGGGATGGGGGGCTCCCGGGACGGGGGAGGGGGGCACGAGAGGCGTTGTGGGGCATCACTGGGGGCAGGGGGGTGCTTCTGGTATCTGGCGCCCCCTGGTGTCTGGCTGGCCCTGGGGGACTACGTGTTGGGGAGGGGGCTGGAGTGGAGGGGGAGGGGGGGGAAGGGGGGGCTGTTTCATTCGCTCATCCCTCCCCCCAGTTCTTCATGCTGCTTCTGGCCACCACCATGGTCGTCCCCGCCGGCTACTTCCTGCCCGTCTTCGTCTACGGTGAGAACCCAGGCGTCCGGGCTCCCAGCCCATCCCCCGCTCTAACCCCCCCAGCCCCCACTCCCCTCCCAGAGCCAGGGAGAGAACCCAGGAGTCCTGCCCCCCAGCCCCTCCTGCTCTAACCCACCAGCCCCCGCTCCCCTCCCAGCGGCTGGGGAGAGAACCCAGGCGTCCGGGCACCCAGCCCATCCTCCGCTCTAACTCACCAGCCCCCACTCACCTCCCAGCAGCTGGGGAGAGAACCCAGGAGTCCTGGCTCCCAGCCCCCCCGCTCTGACCCACAAGCCCCCACTCCCCTCCCAGATCTGGGGAGAGAACCCAGGCGTCCGGCCTCCCAGCCCTGCCCATATCCCAGGATGGGCTCGGTCAGGGGAGTGGGGGGTCTGGCCGGGGGTCCCCGTCTAACCTCCGGGGGGTGGGGTGGGGCTCTGTGCCCACAGGCGCGGGGCTGGGCCGGCTCTATGGGGAGATCATGGCCAAGGTTTTCCCCGAGGGGATTGTCTCCGACGGGATCCGCATCGCCATCGGCCCCGCGGCCTACGCCCTGGCTGGTATGAGCTGCTGTCGGGGGCACCGGGGGGGGGGCGTGGCGGGAGGCAGGGGGGCTCGGTGGGGACACCGGGGGGGGCTCGGCAGGGGGCAGGGGGCCTCGGCAGGGGTGTGACAAAGTGCGAATGTTCTTCACGTTTTGTGGACGACCGGGCCTGGGTGCTCTCGGCTCCCCACGGTTCCCCTTCCCCGGGTTACCACCTCTCTCCCAGGGCCGAGCCCCCTCCCCGCGGCCCCCAGGGGGATCCCTGCTCACACCCTCCCCGGGGTTAACCGCCCCCTTCTGAGCCCTCAGCACGCCGGGTCCTCGTTAATCCCCCTTCGTTTCGCGGCTTACTGCCGGATGCTCTGTTTGTCCCCGGGGCGCCGTCGGATCCCACCGCTCACACCAGCGGTCACGGCGTCCCCGGGGCCATGCTCTGGAACGGCTCCCTACGAAGCCAGTCAGGCCCCTGGGGCATCCCCACTTCCTCGCAGGGGGGCTCGGCGGGCGGCGTTAGGGCTCTGGGGGGCTCTGAGGGCTCACCCCCCCCACCCCGCCCCCCAGGCGCGGCGGCCTACTCGGGCGCGGTGACCCACACGCTGTCGACGGCCCTGCTGGTGTTCGAGCTGACGGGGCAGATGTCCCACGTCCTGCCCCTGCTCATCGCGGTGCTGGTGGCCAACGGGCTCAGCCAGCGGCTCCAGGCCTCCTTCTTCGACGGCATCATCATCGCCAAGCAGCTGCCCTACCTGCCCAAGCTGGGCGTGGGCCGGAGCGGGTGCGCCCGGGGCAGGGAGCCAGGACGCCTGGGTTCTCCCCCCGGCTCTGGGAGGGGAGTAGGGTCTAGTGGTTAGGACTGGGAGCCAGGACTCCTGAGTTCTTCCCCCAGTGTTGGGAGGGGAGTGGGGTCTGGTGGGTTAGAGCAGGGAGGGCTGGGGGCCAGGACGCCTGGGTTCTCTCCCCGGCTCTGGGAGGGGAGTGGGGTCTGGTGGGTCAGAGCAGGGGGGGCTGGGAGCCAGGACTCCTGGGTTCTCTCCCTGGTTCAGGGAGGGGAGTGGGGTCTGGTGGGTTAGAGCAGGGGGGCTGGGAGCCAGGACTCCTGGGTTCTCTCCCTGGTTCAGGGAGGGGAGTGGGGTCTGGTGGGTTAGAGCAGGGGGGCTGGGAGCTAGGACTCCTGGGTTCTCTCCCTGGTTCTGGGAGGGGAGGGGGGGCTGGTGGGTTAGAGCAGGGGGGGCTGGGAGCCAGGACTCCTGGGTTCTCTCCCTGGTTCTGGGAGGGGAGGGGGGGCTGGTGGGTTAGAGCAGGGGGGGCTGGGAGCCAGGACTCCTGGGTTCTCCCTCTGGCTTCAACCCCCGGTCCCGCCTCACACCCAGGGCCCACGACATCTACGCGGAGGATTTCATGGTCACCGATCTCCAATTCCTGCCCCGGGGCTGCAGGTACAAGGACGTGAGGGGGCTGCTCAAGGCCTCCAGCCTCAAACAGTTCCCCCTCGTGGACTCCCAAGGTCAGTGTGGCCCCCCCTGCACCCTCCGAGGCAGCCAGTCCCCGCCCGGGGGCCGGAGGGGAGCCGGCGCCCCCTAGAGGGGACAGGCCCCGGGCCCCATTAACGCCCCCCCCGCCCCCCCGGCTTGTCTGCAGAGTCCAGGATCTTGCTGGGCTCCATCCGGCGGAAGCATCTCGCCAAGCTGCTGTCGGAGCAGCTGAGCGCGGAGAAGCGATTCCAGCATCTGCTCTGGCGGTCCGAGGCGAGCGGCCCCACACAGCCCGTGAGTAACGCCTGCCCCGCCGCCCCGCCCCAGAGGTGGCCGCATCACGGCGCTGGGCGAGGGGTCCCCGGTCACCAGCCGCCCCGCCCCAGAGGTGGGCGCATCACGGCGCCGGGCGAGGGGTCCCCGGTCACCAGCCGCCCCGCCCCAGAGGTGGGCGCATCTCGGCGCCGGGCGAAGGGCCCCCGTGTCCCCAGCCGCCCCGCCCCAGAGGTGGGCGCATCACGGCGCCGGGCGAGGGGTCCCCGGTCACCAGCCGCCCCGCCCCAGAGGTGGGCGCATCTCGGCGCCGGGCGAGGGGCCCCCGTGTCCCCAGCCGCCCCGCCCCAGAGGTGGGCGATCTCGGGGGGCGAGGCCCCATGTCCCCAGCCGCCCGCCCCAGAGGTGGGCGCATCTCGCGCGGGCGAGGGGTCCCCGTGTCACCAGCCGCCCCGCCCCAGAGGTGGGCGCATCTCGGCGCCGGGCGAGGGGCCCCCGTGTCCCCAGCCGCCCCGCCCCAGAGGTGGGCGCATCACGGCGCGGGGAGGGTCCCCGGTCACCAGCCGCCCCGCCCCAGAGGTGGGCGCATCTCGGCGCCGGGCGAGGGGCCCCCGTGTCCCCAGCCGCCCCGCCCCAGAGGTGGGCGCATCTCGGCGCCGGGCGAGGGGCCCCCATGTCCCCAGCCGCCCCGCCCCAGAGGTGGGCGCATCTCGGCGCCGGGCGAGGGGTCCCCGTGTCACCAGCCGCCCCGCCCCAGAGGTGGGCGCATCTCAGCGCCGGGCAGGGGGTCCCCGTGAAACCCGCCGCCCCGCCCCAGAGGTGGGCGCGTCTCGGCGCCAGGCGAGGGGTCCCCGGTCACCAGCCGTCCCACCCCAGAGGTGGGCGCATCTCAGCGCCGGGCACGGGGGTCCCCGTGTCCCCGGCCGCCCCGCCCCAGAGGTGGCCGCATCTCACTGCCGGGCGAGGGGTCCCTGTGTCCCCAGCCGTCCCGCCTCAGAGGTGGCCGCATCTCAGCGCCGGGCGAGGGGCCCCCGTGAAACCCGCCGCCCCGCCCCAGAGGTGGCCGCATCTCAGCGCCGGGCGAGCAGCCGCGGTTTGACTCTGTGACTGTTTCCCTTGCAGCTGCTGGGTGCAGGCGGCGCTTCAGGAACCCCAGAGGAGAAGCCAGGTGAGCAGGACGGGGGTTGGGGGGGGGTTTGCAGGGCAGGGGGGGCACATGGAGTCTGGGGGGGACGGTTTGGGATGGTGGGGGAGAGTCAGAGGCGGGGAGGGGGGTGATCTGACCTGCCCCCACCCCGTGTGTCTCTCCCTTTTCCAGAAACACCGAGAGTTTCTGCTGAGCCGGGCGACGGGGAGACATCAAAAGAGGAGGTGCTGGGGGGGCAGGGAAGGGGGGCCCCCCGTTTGGGAGGATACAGTGGGGGCTGGGAGGATGCATTGATGGGGGGGAAGCAGGGGGGAGCAGGGGGGGCCCATTGGTAGATGCATGGGGCAGGGGCTGGGAGTGGGGGTCAGTTAAAGGGAGGCCCATGGAGTGCAGCAGGGGAGGACTGGGGGGCTCGGAAGGGCTGTCATGCCCCCCCCATGGGGATGCTGCGGGTGCTGATCCGTGTCCCCCCCCCCCGCAGGAGCGAGGCACCCAACTGTCTGTCAAGATGAAGGACGTGCATCACTTGGTATGTCGAGGGCGGGGCTGCCTGTCCGTGGGGACCCCCCCGGGTACCCGGGTCGGGGGGACGTGACCCTCCCCCAGCCCTCCCCGAGTCTGCAGGGCGATTGAAGAGGTCGGGGGAGGCTCAAATCTCCCCCCCAGCCCCAGACTATCACATGTCAGACTTGCGGGTGGCCCAGACTATCGGGGTTCAGACTGGCCCCCCCAGACTATCGGGGTTCATATGCGTCTTCGAGTGTTCCCAGGATGCTTTGCCCCGGCTGTTTGGCGGGGGCTGGTGCAAAGGATTCTGGGAGGACCGCGGGGAAGGGGGCTGGAGCCGGGGGGATATTTCCCAGGATGCTTTGCCCTGGCTGCTTGGCGGGAGCAGGTGCAAGGGATTCTGGGAGGACCCCGGGGGAGGGGGCTGGAGCTGGGGAGGATATTTCCCAGGATGCTTTGCCCCAGCTGCTTGGCGGGGGCTGGTGCAAAGGATTCTGGGAGGACCCCGGGGGAGGGGGCTGGAGCTGCGGAGGATATTTCCCAGGATGCTTTGCCCCGGCTGCTTGGCAGGGGCTGGTGCAAAGGATTCTGGGAGGACCGCGGGGAAGGGGGCTGGAGCCGGGGGGATATTTCCCAGGATGCTTTGCCCCGGCTGCTTGGCGGAAGCAGGTGCAAGGGATTCTGGGAGGACCCCGGGGGAGGGGGCTGGAGCTGGGGAGGATATTTCCCAGGATGCTTTGCCCCAGCTGCTTGGCAGGGGCTGGTGCAAAGGATTCTGGGAGGACCCCGGGGAAGGGGGCTGGAGCCGGGGAGGATATTTCCCAGGATGCTTTGCCCCGGCTGCTTGGCGGGAGCAGGTGCAAGGGATTCTGGGAGGACCCCGGGGAGGGCGGAGCCGGCGGGATATTTCCCAGGATGCTTTGCCCGGCTGCAGGTGGAGGACTGGGAGTGCCAGCAGCTGCAGGAGCCGGTCCGGCTGGAGGAGCTGCCCATCGACCCAGCCCCCTACCGCCTGCTGGAGAACGAGACCCTCTACCAGGTGGGTGCTGCCGGCGGCCTCGGGGTGCGGGGGGGGTTCCCCCAATATCGCGCCCTGGCCCCCCGCTCTGCCCTCCCAGCATGCTTTGCAGCCCAGAGGTGGCGCAAGGGATTCTGGGAGCCGGCAATCTGCAGCCCGGACCTGCCAGGACCCGAGTCTGGGTGGGTGGGGAATGGCTGGAGCGGGCTTGAGCAGAGCTCTGATTGGCAGGCATTTGCATATGCAAATAGGGCCGTCCCTGGCATCGGCTGCACACTCGACGCAGAGCAATTAACGTTTGGGGAGGTTAAATTTTGTATGCAAATCTGCTGGCAGCTCATTTGCATTAGCTCAGGGTAAGTGCTTATACATGGTGATAGGGATTTGCATAAGCAATGACGGTGGGAGGGGATTTGGGTGAATTTGCATGTGCAATTAGAGTGAGAGGCCTTGGCACATCAATTTGCACGTGCAATTAGGGGCGGAGGGGCTGGTAGGGCAATTTGCATAGGCAGTTAGGCTGGGAGGAGTTGCAGATGAATTTAAATATGCAATTAGCAGGGCCGGCTCATTTGCCGGCCTGGTTTCCAGACATTTGCATATGTAATGGGGGAACAAGACCATTGCACATCAATTGGCTTATGCAATGGGGTGTGGCTCATTTGCATATAATTATGACCCATGCCCCCCCAAGTGCAGCTAATGCCCCCCCCCACATTGCTGTGGGCCCCCCTTGCTATGCCCCGACTCCTGAGCCACAACCTTGATTCAAGGGGGGCGGATATTGCTCCCCGCAATATCCGCCCCCCCTTGTTTTGACGTCTGACCCCCCCGTTCCCCCCCCAGTGCTATGATCTGTTCAACTTGCTGGGCCTGCGGACAGCCTATGTCACCAACGTGGGCCGGCTGGTCGGGGTGGTGAGCCTCCGAGAGGTAGGGTGGGGGGCAGATGGGGGGCGGTGGAAGGGGAGATGGGGGGTGTGGGTTGGGGTACACGGGAGATCAAGCAGATCAGAGAGGTTGTGGGTGGGGCAGGGAGCTCGTGGGGTCATGAGGAGATGGGGGGGTCATGGGATCATATGTGGGGGTGGGAAGGCATGGGGGTCACAGTGGGGTCAAGAGGGGGCATGTGGGGAGATCCTGGGGAATCCGGGGTCAGGGAGTATTTTGGGGTCGCAGGGGGATCTTTGGGGTTCAGGGAAGTTGAGGAAGGAGGTGGGGGTCACGGGTGAAATTGGGGCCGGGTGGGGGGCTCAGAGGTTTGGGGGCGGGGGTGTCCCTGACGCGCTGTCTCTGCCCCCCAACAGCTCAAAGCCGCCGTGGAGGGATCGGTCAAGGGCACCTTTGCCAGGCGCCGGCCCCATGACGGGGGGCAACGCGAGGGGGACCCCAACGGAGCCTCAGCCTAGCGGGGATCGAAGCATCCAGCCTAACCCCAAACCCGGAGCAGGGGCAGGGGAGAGAAAGCCCCCCACAGCACCTTGGTCCCCATCTTTTCTCTCTTGTCCTCCCCGTGTCCCAGCTCCAATAGCCCCCCAGTGACCCCTAAATTATTAACCCCCCGTTTTCAGGTGCTGCCCCCCCGAAGAACGCCCCCCCCAATCACCCAATAAAGACCGGGTTACATTTTTTTGTCTCTCTTTTATTCCCCACTCCCATCTTTCTAGGGGTCTGGTGGGTTGGAGCAGGGGGGGCTGGGAGCCAGGACGCCTGGGTTCTCTCCTGGGCTCTGGGAGGGGAGTGGGGGCTGGTGGGGGGCTGGAGATGCACCCACCCCTGGGTCAGAGCAGGGGCCTGGGTTCTCGTGGTGAAACACGTGGTTGTCATGGTGCCTGGATATAGGATTATGACATCATAGCCTTAGCTTGTGACATCCTTGTGTGACATGCCAAGTCACCGGTGCATCATGGGAAGTCACGTTGTTCCCCAGTGACATCATAGGGCACACAATGGTGCTGTGGGCTGAGGCGATGACCTCATGGCATTGTGCTGTGACATCATGACATGCTGGGGGCTGTCCTTGGTCAGAAGGCTGGCCGGTGCCATCATTTTGTGTTCCAATGACATCGCTGCTGCATGGGGTGACATCATGGCAGAAGATGTAAGGGCGCGTTGTCGCTGAGGAACCTAATGACAGCGTGGTGACATCAGGGCCTCACACCGCGCCATCGTGTCATTTTGATGGCATCATGGGGGGCCACGAGGGGTTATTGCGGCCGGAGGAACAGCTCAATTCCCTGACATTATGGAGTGACACTATGACATCACAGGGCCGTGCGAGGACATCATCTGCTGATGTAATGGCCTTGCTGCCTGACACAATGGCAACACCAGAGATGGTGACATCACAGGGCCAGGCAATGACACAACAGTGTGGGACGGTGACGTCACGGGACCACGTGGTGACATCACAGGGCCAAGCGATGACGCCACAGTGCAGCGCAGTGATGTCACAGACCCAGGCGGTGACGTCACAGGACGAGGCGCTGACAGAACGGTGCGTCACCGGGCCAGGCTGACATCCCAGGTCCTGGCGATGACACAACAGTGACATCACAGGGCCGGGGGGTGACATCACAGTGTGACAATGGCCCCACCAGGCTAGGCGGTGACGTCATCCGGCTGGGGCCGGGACGTTGTGGTCTCGCGCACCCAAGGAGGCGCGAACCACCATTTTGTGTGCGTGTGGTGGGGGGAGGTGTCACGTGACCCGAGCCCCCCTGTGAGGAGCGGGCGGGACAGGCGGCTCGCGCGCGAGGGCCGTGCCCCGTCACGTGATGCTGGCGGCGCGGGTGAGGGGGCCGCCCCACGCGCTGGGGCGCAGGCGCGCGCCGCGTCCGGGGCGGCGGTTGGGGTTGGGAGGGCGGCCCCGCCCCCTCCTGCCGCAGCCTCGCTTTGGGGACGCGCGCGCGCCTGCATCACGCGAGCCGGGCGGCGGTTTCCTTCCCCCCCGTCACGTGACACCCCGTCCCCCCCCCCTCCCCCCGCTCGCGGCCTCCCTCCGCGGTCCCCGGGCTCCCCCGTCACGTGACGCGGCGCAGCGCCGCCATCTTGGTACAAACACAAACAAGCGGCGAGAGGAGGAGGCGGCGGCGGCGGCGGCGGAAGCGGCGAGAGACCCGGAGCCTCCCCCCGCGGCCAGGGCCCCCCCCGGCCCCGCCCCCCGCCAGGCCCCGCCCCCCCCGAGCCGGGCGCCGCGGTGAGACCCGGGGTGTCCCCCCGCCCCTCCCCCCACCCGCGGGACCCCCCCCCCGGGCCTGGGCCCCGCCCCCCCCGGGCCCCGCAGCCATGGAGATTCCGGGGGGGGGGCGCCCCATTTTCCCAACAGCCCCTCCCCCTCCCTGCCCGGCCCTGAGGGGGGGAGCCCCCCCCCGCCCCGCTTCCCTCCCGGCCCCCCCTCCCGGCTATGGGGGGGCTCTGCTCCCTATGTGCCCCCCCGGGGCAGAATCCCAGCCCCCTTCCCATGCAGGGCCCGGGGGGGGGAGTGTGGGGACCCCCCCTCCCCCCCATCCTCACACTGAACCCTCCCCCCTGGGCGGGTGCGGGGGGGGGGAGCAGGGGGCGAGTCGCTGGCTGGCGGGGGGGGTGGTTTGGGCACATGCAGCCCCCCCCCCCCCGCTCGGGGCAAAAGTGCTGGGGAGGGGGGTTGTTCTGCCCAGGAGCCCCCTTTTCTCCCGCCCTGCCCCCGCGTGCTGTGCCCGTCCCCTCCCCCTCCCTGGATAAGCCCCCCCCCCCCCCGTGGGTTTTGTCTGGTCACCCCACTTGCCTGAGCGGCTGCACGAACCGGGGGCTGGGAGACGGGCTGGGTGCGGGCGCCTCTGCAGCCCCCTTGTTTCTTGCTGTCCAGCCCCCCCACCCCCTTCCCGGGCTGCGGCCGCCGGGTCGTTCTCTAGCTACCCCCGGGCCGGGGGGGGCGGGGGCCCCCACATCCCTGGGGGGAGGGTGTGGGCTGGGTCGTCGGGAGCTCTCTGCCCCTCTGGTGCAGCTGCTGGGCCGGCCGGCCTCGGCCTTTCTGACTCGATGTGTCTCCTTGAAACTGGGTGAATTTCTGGGCCCCCCCACGTTGTGCCGGGGGCCGCACAGACACCCCCCCTGCCCGATTGAGAGCGGGGGTCCCCGTTGTGCCGGGGGCCGCACAGACACCCCCCTGCCCGATTGAGAGCGGGGGTCCCCGTTGTGCCGGGGGCCGCACAGACACCCCCCTGCCCGATTGAGAGCGGGGGGTCCCCGTTGTGCCGGGGGCCGCACAGACACCCCCCTGCCCGATTGAGAGCGGGGGGTCCCCGTTGTGCCGGGGGCCGCACAGACACCCCCCTGCCCGATTGAGAGCGGGGGGTCCCCGTTGTGCCGGGGGCCGCACAGACACCCCCGACGGGCCACTGGTGTGGGTGCTGTGGGAGGGAATGAAAGATGGCAAAGAAGCGTCCGTCTGTCTGTGTGGACGGGGGCAGGTGAGCGGTCGTTCTTGGCGGGGAAAGTCACGTTGGAAATAAGGGGTACGTTTCTGACAGGGCGGGTAACAAACCGTTGGGACGACGGACCCGGGATTGGGCGGGTTCCCCGTCAGCAAGGGCGGTTTTCCTAAAAGCCCTGCTCCAGGGCAGTTCTCTGCCTTGGGTGTGCAGCGGCTCGGACTAGATGTTTGCAGTGGTCCCTCATGCCTTTGTCCATCTAGCTACGCCCACCACGCCAGCGGCGGGGGCGGGCAGCCTCCGTGCCACGGTGGTGCTCGATAACGGGGGGAAACTGAGGCAGGGTGATGGGAAAGCGGTCACGCAATTGGTGATGGCAGCGCTGCCGGGGAGCGAACCCAGGGGTCCTGAGTCCCAGTGCAGTCCTGCTGCTTCCTCTGAGCCGGGCGCTGTACAAATCTGTGCCAGAAGAGTCCTGAGGTCCGGTTGGTTTGAAAGGCAGATGAAGTCCTGGCCGGTGTGAAGTCTTGTGCTCACGCCGCCTTTGCTGCCGTCGCGTCTGTTTGTCTCCTAGTAACGCACGGTCAAGGGGGCGGGGGGTAACCACCAGACCCCAGTGGGGCAGCTGAAAACTGCCAGCCTAAGAGAGTAACTGTGGTCTGCTAGGTCTGTTCCCTCTCTGTGCAGCCGGGGGAATCGAGACATGGCCCCCAGGAGTCTGCACCAGTGCCGGGGTTGGACCTTCGCGCTCGGTCTCCCAGCTCCGGGAGCCCCATTTTAGTGTTGTCATCTCGCTGCCCTCAGAGAGGCCGCAAATTTTTAAATCCAAGTCGGGGCTGGGCTCAGGCTTATCCAAGAGATGGTTCAGAGGTGACTTGATCCCGGGCTCTAATGTGGGGAGAAATCTTTCCAAGGGGACAAATTCAGACTAAAACCAAGTTGTGGGTTTGCACCGGGGAGGGAAATTTAACCCACTGGAGCAACTGACCCAGTGACCCACCTCCTGGAGTCTGAATCAGGATCGGGGGTGTCTTTTTAAAAGATACGCTCCGCGTCTCAAAAGCAGAAATTGGGGGTTCGGTGCAGGATTCCTGGGGTGAATGTTCTCTGATCCATGCTATGCGGCCGGTTGGATGAGACAAAGTAATGACCCCTTCCAGCTTTAAGATATCTGAAAGTTCATCTGTCCGCGATGCTTTGTGGAGTTGGAGTGAGGTGCGTCTGTTATAACTGCGTCCGTGAGTTAGCTCTGGTGGTGGAAATGTGTTGTAATAAGTCTTTATTCAGAGGGTCCTGCTCTTGGTCCTAGGTACTCCCTTGCGCAAGGTGCTGTACAAACACCAAGTAGTAGATGGTCTCTGCTTTGAGAGCAGACAGACGTAGGCAGAGTCAACAAAGTGATGCCTGAAAATGTCCTGGTACTGCCACAGTGGGGTGGGTTTGGTTACGGGGGAGGGAGCTGGATGGGGCAGGTGTGGGGGGAAGCGGAGATGGGATAAAGTGAAGGTTGTGTTTGGAGCACAGGTATGGATATGACTGAGGTCTATAAAATCATAACTGGTGCAGAGAAAGTAAAGAAGGACGTGTTATTTACTCCTCATAACACAAGAACTAGGGAAAAAGAAACGGAGGACTTGTGGCACCTTAGAGACGAACAAGTTTATTTGAGCATAAGCTTTCATGGGCTACAGCCCACTTCATCGGGGTCACCCAATTAAATGAATAGTCAGCAGGTTTAAAACAAAAGGAAGTATTTTTTCACACAACGACCAGTCAACCTGTGGAACTCCTCGCCAGAGGATGTTGTGAAGGCCAAGACTATAACAGGGTTCAAAAAAGAACTAGATAAGTTCCTGGAGGACAGGTCGATCAGTGGCTATTAGCCAGGATGGGCGGGGATGGTGTCCCTAGCCTCTGTTTGCCAGGAGCTGGGAATGGGTGACAAGGGACGGATCACTGGATGATTCCCTGTTCTGTCCATTCCCTCTGGGGCACCTGGCACTGGATACTGGGCTAGACGGACCTTTGGTCTGACCCAGTCTGGCTGTTCTTATGAATGCTTGTGTGAACTGAGCGTTTGAGTTGGGCTAGGGATACAGATCGGTGTTAAGGCTTGTTATTTCTTTTAAATGTGCCGAGAGGGTCGTGCGCTATTATTAATAGGCTTGGAAGGTTAGATTTCTATTATAAATAGCAGAATTGTCTATTTCACGGGACG